TTTCATCTCAACTATATTCATTCTATATGTATCTTGTTTCTTGACTGCTTAAGATTCTGTCCCATAAAGTAAAGTTGGTCTCACAGCTGTCCTATAGAACTTGCCCTACGGCTTCATTAGTATACGTGATCACATAAAACTCCAGTTACACATCTCCACTTCGCCCACCCAGCGCTAATTCTATGTGCGACATCTTCATCAATCTCTTCATTTTCCTAGATTATCAATCCAAGAAATCGAAAGTGCACTCTTTTTGGTATTTCTTGGCCTTCAACCTTAACTACTTTCTCATCTCTGCTTCTATTATTACTAAACCTACATTCTATATACTTCACCTTAGTCTGGCTAACTTTGAAATCTTTAGATACTAGAGCATCCTTCCAAAGTTCTAACTTTGTGTTGACGCCGTTTTGGGTCTCATTAATCAAAATAATATCATCCGCGAATAACATGCACCATGGTAGCTTATCTTAATGGTACCTAGTTAAGTCGTCCATAACTAAGACAAAGAGGTACGAGCTCAATGTTAACTTCTGATGCAGAAATTTTAAATGAATACAAACCATAATTAAAAATGAAAAGCTTGATAATTAGTTTTTAAAAAAAAGGAAAAATATACAAATAAGCTATTTATATTTGATACAAGGAGGTCACAATTACTTTTATCCATCAAATTTCAAATCGAATGGTTATGAATGTGTAATTGACTTGACTCCAAGTTCAAAAAGAAATTCTCAAACTTTGTGACAAATGTGACATGTAATGATTCGTAGTAATTGTGACCTCCTTGTAACATAGAATAGTCTCATAGTATAGAATCCCTTAATGAGATATACAAATCTTCACTCTTGTCATTGTAAGTTGGCAAAAAATTATGCTTTTTATTTCTTTGTAAAATATTTCTCAAATATTTTTATTCTTCAATAGTTTAAAAAAAATATGCTTTTTGTTTTATTGTACCATTTATTCATTGGTACTTTTTTTGAGGTGCCATAGCATCTATATGATGTATACGCTTGAAGGCCCCTCTCCTTGTAACATAGATAATAGTCTCATAGTATAGAATCCCTTCATGAGATATACAAATCTTCACCCTTGTCATTGTAAGCTGACAAAAAATCATGCTTTTTATTTCTTTGTAAAATATTTCTTAAATATTTATATTCTTCAATAGGTTAAAAAAAAATATGCTTTTTATTTTATTTTACCATTTCTTCATTGGTACTTGTTTTTACGTGCCATAGCATCTATATGATGTATATGCTTGAAGAGCCCACAAGCGCCCTTCAACAATTTAGATTTAACCTATTCTAACGAAATGGCCAAAAATAAATTTGTTTTTTATTTTATTCTTTACTGAAAAATCATATTCATATGAGATTTAGGAAGTAAAATTTATTTTTATATTATACACCAAATAAAATTAACAATAATATTTTGAATAAAAACTTTGGTCAAAATACCCATGAATATTTTAAGGGTATTTTGGATTTTTTTGGTTCAAAATGTTATTTTACTATTTTTATTTGGTGCATCGTATAAAAATGAATATACAACCCCAAATTTTAGATAAATATAATTTTTTAAAGTAAAAGATAAAAAATAAATTTACTTTTTGGCCATAGCCTAATTCAATTTGGACTGCTGAAAGGGTGCTTGTATATCCACATGATGTAGACACGATACTTTCCCCCTTTTTTTTGGTTATCTCTTATACACATTTCCACATGCACATAGCAATTTTATGGTTTAGTAATTTCACATGCACATATACTTCTAGAGCAAGGGTTTTGAGAACTCAAAATTTTGATTTTTTTTTTTTTTTTAAATTATCCACAAGATGGATAATGGTCATTGCATCCACTTGCACTTCTGAAACATGGAATAGATGCAAACATTATATAGTCCAGCTTCATTTTTTGTTCATAGGCCTGAAATAGTCCTTCCACTCGAAGTCTACATCCCCAAGAGTATTTACTCTGAATTAACATTTGCAGTGCCTCCATGGATATTCTGGGGTTTATGAAGAATTGGGAAACCTACAAAAACCCGCGGAAAGAACAAGCAAGCAAGTACAACGACCCTTTAAAATAAATCTCAGGCAACCTGTAGAAAACTAATGATAAAGCAGATAAAATATGAACCACAAATCATGGGAAAAATCTCCTATTTTCTAAGCTGCCTGCGGCTTAATTCTATTTATGGCCAAGCCAAACCATACATCTAATTTTACTTAAAATATAGAATTTCAAAAATCCAAAAATTCCAAATTTATCTTAATCTCATGCATGCAAGAAATCCTTATTAGACTGAGAGAGAAGATATGCAAGGAAAACTTCTTCATTAAGACTGCAGTGTGTAAGGAGCCTCCTACTTTGTATGCAGAGAGGAAGAATCTAAAGACTATTGTTCGATCAAACAAAATTTGCAGCCTTTATTGCATGACAATGACACATACATATGCATCCTAATAAATTCAGTATTTGTAGTAAAGATTCAAGACCAAAATGTGTGTGTGTGTGTGTTTGTTGCAAAATTATATATGATCTAAAATTATTGAATGAAGCACTATTATAAGATACATATTTACCCTTATGTACCACATGAGCTTCAAAGTATTTTATATAGATTTAAATTTGGAGAAACAGATTAAAAGGTTTAGATTACATGATACTGTATATGTCATTAGATATTCTTTACATTTATAAACTTATCTTTATCGTCAAAGTTTATAACTTCTAGATATATAAAATTTTCTAATTATTTTTTAAAAATAATTATTAAAATTTTCTAATTATTTTTTTTAAATAATTATTAAAATTTCCTAATTCTTTGAAAAATCTTCAGCTTATATTTTAAAAAAAATTTGTTGCTTTCAAACTCATATACAAATGTTTTAACCATGTGTCTTGATTCAGTCTCATCTTATCTAAAACTAGAAACATCAAATCCGTGTCAGAATCTAGGTAATGTAGCTTCTTAGTCTTCTCTGTGAAAGCCGACCATATCTATATTACATATACACAAACTTTGTTTTTAACCTTAATAGCTCTTTAAGTATCTCCTTTAATACTTTTATAACTCCACTCCTAATCACTTGGAGCTTCATCTATAATAAGCAAATAATATAATCATTTCAAAATATAATAATAAAGTTCACAAACTTCTATTACTGTCGTAATATTCATAGAAAGTAATTGTTGACTTTTTTACACTATGTAAATGATTCACAGATGAAGAATGCATGGAATACAGACTAATATTTAATTGCAAATCAACACAAACTCTCATACATTTCGGAAAAATGAGTGATCATACATACAGTTCAATATGTTACCAGTGGAATCAGCCATCCGCAGTTGACAGCACACAACTGACATTAATGATACTCGCCGATCATTGTGGTAACCAGCAACAAAGCATACATCCATTTAAAACTAGTAAAAATCAGAAAGTTGGGAGAAATCAAGCAAATCAATCTTTAAAACATTTTGCCATCCTTTCCATGTTTGAATAATTTTTAGCACAGGACTGAAAAACGAAAAAAATAAGCAGTAGCTTCCAAAACACCACCAGGTTACTTTTTTCTTTTCCTTTTTCTCTTTTTCTTTTTGTTTTTTTTTTTTGTGTGTGCGTGTGTGTAGAGGGGGGGGGGAGGGGGGTTGGACAATGATGGTTGAGTCCTAAAATGCATGCAAGGATATAAATAGGTTACTCGACCATCTGATGTCAGCAATGAATGGTTAGGAGGCTTGACTCTGTAGCCGTCCATTCTTAAGACTTGACACTAGATGGCACGGGGAGCTGTTTATATCCATGCAGGATATAAGAGACACACCCCAGCAATCCATTTTTAACACTTGACACCTAATGGCAGAGGAGCTGTTCATATTCATGCAGGATATAAAATCGCAGTGTCATATATTGTCCCACATTATGTTATAGTCAACTACCACCAATAATGAAATAGCGAATTACCAGTATTAGTAATTAAAAATATTTCAACGTCAACTTATTATTAAATATAACATAACGTGGAAAACAAATAATGAAATGTGCGAATTATATTGCAAGTGCCAAAAGAAAATGCTAATCAGTCACTAAGTCAAGTCAGTTTTGTTTGGACAATGACCTGAGTCAACTTAAACTTTGAAAATATCAGCATGCATACTTATATATCCTTCTTCACAAGCCATATATAGAACTCCTGTAATGACCTAGTCATGCCCGCACAAGAAACTCATATTTCATCAATTCAGTCCCAATACTATTTTTCCCTCTGATTTCTCTTGATTTCCATCTTTACTAGCATGGATACAAGCAGTATCGACCAATACTCAAAGCCCAACACACATCTTATATACAAAATAAAAATAAAAAATTCATTTTTTAATGAAGAAAATAATTACACTAATCTCTCTACCAAGTCAAAGAGCCAAATTGCCATCAACATTTGCCCTGTTACACATTTTTTTCTCTTTTGGTATTCAATTGAGCATTAATATAGCCCATACAAAAAATGGGAGGGCTTCATCTCATATGCTCAAACAACAATGACTTCTTTTGGGTAATGAAACAGCAATAACTTCAAAACAGCAGATAAGAATAGTCTACTGAATATGCCAAAAACTTCAATTGCATTGACAAAAACTAGAAGAGTATGTCGCACATGTTTGAACAAACATGAGACGTGCTATCTAGAAGTAAGGCTAAATCCCAAAATAAGGTACCAAAACTCCTAATCTGAGGTGCTTGCATTACCCACTGAAGCCTAAGCCCATTCAACCAATAAATGAAAAAGAATAAATGGTTGGAAAGGAAGAATCATGATCCTTTAAGTGGTATCTCAGAGCTACAGCAACTGGACCAAAATCCACGTCCTCTCAAGAAAATAGGCGAAAGGATCGGGCCTAATTTCCCGAAATATGCATCACTTTAACCCCAATTTACGTGGGAACAAGAGGGAAGAGAGAGAATAAAATGAATGATGGGTAGGGTACCTTCTTCTTCCATCCAGGTGGAGCCCGCAACTCTTGGCCTGCACCTTGATGGTGCTCTTCAACCTTACTGCCTCCCTCTGAAACTACGGGGCTTGCCATTGCGACAACTCGCTCTCTGTGTATGGATTATAAGCAGCGGCCCTTCTCTGTTCGGACTTCAGAGTTTGTAACTCGCTTTCTATTAAAAGGGTCGCCTCTGGTGGTGCATGCACACGCATACATATATTACTAAATTCTGCATTGACGCACCCAAGCCTTGCGTCGGAAGTCGGAACAGTCGGTCAATCATGATAGGATAATAAAGAAAAAGCTTATATAATGTTGAGACCCTAAAAAAGTCATGATCAGAAAAATTCTCAAATCTTATCGTCTTGGCCTTCTGATATATGAACATAAAAAAAAGGTAAAGAATAGAATGAGACCATTTGGTACAAAATCACATTAGTCTTGACCATTTTTTGTGAAATTGGATAGGTACAATTATTTTATTGATCAAATTTAAATTTCTAAATAAATTTTTTCGAACTTTGTGATAATCTAAGCTATTAAAATTCATATCAAATGGTACTAAGGAATTGTGACCATCTTGTATGATAGGTAAATTATCTCATTGTATGCAATCCCTAAAAAAATTGGACTTCAAGTTTTGAAAATAGTACACCTTCTGATGCATTATCTAGGCGGTCAATTTTCAATATTTTCTTAAGTGTTCATATTGCATGATCTACCTTATTTTCGAAGCTTTAAATTTTATAACTAAATATGAAAATACATTTTAGGCCATGATAAAGATGTTTAATATTGAAATAACATATTTTGACACTATTTAAAAGTATACCTTATTTTGACTGTTTAGGTCCTCAGCTTTGTATAAACCACATCCTAATAATAATAAAAATAATGTGAATAAAAGTTTGTCAGGGATACATCCTCATCACTATCCAATGGCAGCCTTCTATTTGGTCTGAGCGGTTTGACAACAATTCGGTACTTAGAAATAAAAAAAAAATTATATAAGGTTGCAATCTTAAACTGTAGAATAAAAATCGCACCTCAAAAATCTATTAGAATGTAATATTGAAAAACCCTCTAATTGATCATCTCGACATCGAGATGTATAAATATTAAAAAAAAAAAAAAATGAGCATCATAAATAGTGCATCTTGCAACACATTAACTAGACCGTCCATTTTTAGGATTTTCATATGTTTATAAATCTACTTGATTTTAACTATTTTTTTAGTTTAAAGTTTTATAATTAGATATTAACAAATTTTTAGATAATTCAATTAATTTTTTGCAAAAAAATTTCATGTTATAATTAAATTTGGAGGTGCGCCTTAATTGGATTGTTTAAGGTTGAACCATTGTAGAAGACCCATTAGAAATTATCCTTTCTCTTTTTTTTTAATATTAACATATAACTAGTTAGGTGCATCGATCTCGCCTCCCCGGATCTAGGTGATCAGGTGACACGTGTCTCGGGTTTGAAAGACCCAAGACCTGAGACCGCACTCTCGGGAACCTCGTTCATAGAACAAGGGCAAGTGTCCAACTGGTGAGAGAGGAATTTTGAATGTGACGTGGGGACCAACCTCACCTAGGTCCGTGACTTACTCGAGCTGATTCAGAATCGCCTCCATTGACCTGCAATCTCCTTGTTTTCTGCACAACACTATCATAGTTAATTTGCAAGACAAGTGGGCCGAAGGACCCACCCTTGACTTAGGGCAACGCACATTCGTGAGAAGTTAGGGTGATGAAGAAGAGAGTTTGAATAAAGAGAGAAAAGGGAAGAGGACTTGATAAAGAGACGAGCCTAGCAAGATAGTTGGACCAGCGACCAACTCTAGTCGTAGCAAGATGGGCATGGTACTTAAGACCAGCATGACGGCAATACTACTCGAAACCGAGGCCGCTATGCCTGTCCTAATCTGGTGTGGCAGCAAGACATGCATGGTACTCAGGATCAGCACGACGACAATACTGCTTGACATCCAGACTACTATGGCAGTTCTAGACCGAGTCTACCCTCAGTCAAGTGAGAAGATAAGGAAATAAAAAAAATAAGCCGTGGAGTAACAATGTTGCGGCCCTTGGACAGCGCTGGACATTGTTGCTCACTGTCAAAGAGTGAGCAGTGAACTACAGACGGTACTAAGCATCGCCGTTGGCAACACGAGAAGGGCGATGGCTCCTTATGAAGCGTGCAGCAACAGCCTCTTGTAAAGCGCGCAGTGGTAGCTCCTCGACGAAGCACACGGCGATAGGTGTGGGACGCAAGAGAAGCATGTGCTCAGCAATAGGCACCCAGGGCACGAAAGAAGCTTGCGCACGGCAATAGGTACCGAGCGCACGAAAGAAACTAGCGCGCGGCGATCGGCACCGAGCGCACGAAAGAAACTAGCGCGCGGCGATCGACACCGAGCGCACTAAAGAAGCTAGCAAACAGCGATGGGTATTATCGCGACCCTTCGCGGGCAGCGATAGGCACACAACAGGGTGAGACCCCTACAGGCGGCAATGGGCATCGCCGTCTGGCTTTCGTGGGACGTCGAGGACGCATCTGCGAACGGCGATGAACAGTGTCATATGCGAACCTCGCTGAGAGATAAAGATGAATGAAAATAAGGAGAAAGAGGCTCGCGCATGGTGTTGCCATTGCCATGCGTGACCTGTGAAACCACACGAGAGAGACGAGAGAGAGAGGCATGCACAACACTACCACTGTCGTGCATGGCCTCTGAGAGAAACTCAAATGAAAGAGAAATAGAAGAATATAGGAAATAAGAGAGAGAATAAGAGAAGAAAGAATAGAGGAGAGAGAAAAATATTTACCTTAAGTCTAGGGGTACCATCTCAAAATTTTCTCCCTCCATCCTCACTCTCTCAAGCTGTGATCCAACAATGAGAAAAGATAGAGATTTTATTAGATTGCATAAGATGACTTTGACACCAGTACCGTATTCATTCCTAGCCCTGTCAAAGTATAACTCCCAAGTGGAATCCTCAATGACAAAGAGGTCCTCATCAGGGAGATCTATTTTGATGGGGACACAGTCAAGTAAGGCATGCTCAGCTAAATGATCGGCAATTGCTTGCCCCTTGATTGATTTCTAAGTAACATATTCGATGTCAAATTCACTTAGGAGCATTCTCCATTTGGCAAATCATCCATTTAGAACATGTATTTTTAGCAAGTACTTGAGTGGATCCATCTTGGATATCAGCTTGATGGTATGAGAAAGCACATAATGCCTAAACTTTCAAGTTGCCCACACTAAGGTTAGACAATGTTTTTCCACATCCAAGTATCGTATTTCATAGTCGATCATTGTCTTACTGATGTAGTAGATGGTCTTCTCTTTTCCTTAATTATTATATTGCCCTAGAATCACCCCCATTGTCTTATATGTCACAGCAAGATAAAATAACTAGAGGTTTATTGGGATCAGGTGGACTCAAGATCGGTGGGTTAGAAAGGTACTCCATTATATGATCAAAGACTTTTTGACATGCCTCATCCCAGATAAACGGGTGTCCTTCTTTAACAGACGATTGAATGGACCACATTTCTCAGTTAATTGAGATATAAATCTCCTGATAGCTCGGATTCTACCTTGCAACCCACGAATTTCTCGAATATTCTTTGGAGATAGCATTTATGAGATAGCCTTAATTTTTATTGGGTCCACTTCTATTCCTCTTTGGCTCACAATGAAGCCAAGTAGCTTGCCAGGCTCAACACCGAAGACACACTTATGAGGATTCAGCTTTAGTTGGTGCTCTCGAAGTCCGTCAAATACTATTTTCAAATTGGAAAGGTGGGCATCCCGAGTTTTGGATTTGATTAGGATATCATCCATATAGTATTCCATAATGTCATGTATCAAGTCATGAAATATAGTAGTCATGGCCCTCTGATAAGTTGACCTTGCATTTTTAAGACCAAAAGGCATGACTCTATAGCAGCATGTCCCTCATTGTGTGATGAAGAAAGTCTTTTTTTGGTCTTCTTTCACCATGATGATATTATTGTAGCCAGAGAAATCGTCCATGAAGGATAACATCTGCTGTCCAGCAGTGTTGTCAACTAGGGCATCTATATTTTGAAGAGGAAAGTCATCCTTAGGACAGGCTTTGTTCAAATCCCTATAGTCGATACAAACTCTGATTCTCCTATCTTTCTTAGGTACTACTAAGATATTGACTAACTAATCCGTATAATTCGCAGGTAAGATGAACTTTGCTTTTAAAAGTTTGTCAATTTATTCTTTATCTTCAGCTCCAAGTGAGGCTTTAGTCGACGTAGTTTATGTTTGATGGCTCTTGCCTATTCATGGAGTACAAGATGGTGTCGTACCAATTCGAGATTTAAGCCAGGTATATCTTCATAAGACCGGGCAAATATGTCAATACATTCTTTTAAGAGGGAGATCATCTTGCCTTGTTCTTCTGGTGATAGAGAACTTCCAATTATTGTGATCTTCAAATATTTCTCATTTCCTAGATTAATGTCTAAGGTCTCATCGACAATAGCAATAGGACTACCGTCGAATATCGTCTTAAACTGCTCAACTTTGAACATGAGTTCCTCAGTGGGAGGTTCTTCATCTGCCTCAAAGTTTTCATCGACAGGTGAGTCCTCATTTGTTTCATTTTTATTTTATTCCCTGGCTTCATTTAAGTTTTCACTGGGTTTGTCAAAGGTCTTGATTATATTTTCTACAATCGGAAAGGTAATGGTGTCAGAAAGGCTTTGCACAGAATGCCTGTTTAGGGAGCCTACGCCAACCCATTTTTTTGGCACAGGAACTTGAAAGTGTCGTTGTATCCCCTTGATGGATTCAATAGATAGGGGAGTAATGCTCCAATTTTCAGTAATTACCCTAGTTTTCTTGGGAGTCGAGGAGGTGGTAGCCACAATATGGGCTTCAAGTGTAAATCGGGAAAGTTGTCGTTCTAACAACTCTTCTTCTAGAGGAATTATGATCTTCGGTTTTGGAAGAGGTTCAGTCTTTCGGTGGTCAAGACCTTGAATTCCTCCAATAATTAAATATGAATACCGAGAAGATTTGAGTTTGCATTGAAGCTTAGAAAGTGTGCAACCCAACCCTCTTCGATTGTCGATGTCTACTTTAGCATGAGGGGAATGAGTAATTGCCTTAGCAACACCTTGCCCAATTTTTTCAAGGCCAAAGCCGGGGCCATAACCCTGAGCCAATAGCATATTTCATGCATGCATGAACCGAAATCGTAATGACTACAACAATTTTTCAATTTCTCAGGCTCTTCATGCGTTTCAT